CCACATTTAACAAATTTTGAAACATAATAAGCACAGAAAAGTACAGAGATAACTATCAGGAACATGCTGTGCTTACTACCCAGCTATTGTCAAACTTTAATATTTGTCATCTTTGCTTCCCATATTTTTATCATTTATCTTCTTTTTCAAAAAAATTTATTTTTTATTGTTGACAGTATTATAGATGTCCCCCATTTTCCCCTCTTTGCCCCCTTCCACTCGACCCCCACCCCTTCCCAGGCCTTCACCGAACTATTGTCTGAGTCCACGGGCTATGCATATATGCATGTAAATTCTTTGGTTAATCTCTTCCTGCCCCACTCTCCCCTCCCTGCCTTCCCTCTGAGGTACCTCAGTCTGTCCTATGTATCCATGTCTCTGGACCTATTTTGTTCATCAGTTTATTTTGTTCATTAGATTCCACATATAAGTGAGATCATGTGATATTTGTCTTTTTTTGGACTGGCTTATTTTGCTTAGTATATTTTCGCTTCTTATATTTTTAAAGAAATAAACATTTCAGATTTATCTGAAGCACCCAGTGAGCCCCTACCTCGTACCTCCTCACTCAGAAAATTTTTCCCCCTGAAATTATTAATCTGAAATTGTTTTCGTTCCTATTGCATCTTTTTAATATTTGCACTACATAGATGTTTACAAACAATATGTGATATCAGTGTACATTTTCACATTTTATAATAATAGTATGATATATCCTTCTGCAATTTGTGTTTTGTTTTTCCCCTTCAAAGTTATGTTGCTGAGAGGCCTCAAAATGCATGTGTGTGGCCATGCTTCATTTATTCATTTTATAAATTTCTGAATCATGCTCCACTTTATGAACATATCCCAGTTTGTTTATTCTTCAGCTGATGGACATTTTGTTTGTTTCCAATATTTAGTTATTGCAGACCATTCCACAGTGAGCACTTCTGGTCATGTGTTCCTGTGCACATGTGTGAGTTTCCCTAGCTGTCCAGTTTTTCTAGCCTTATTTTACCTCTGCTGAACTGAGTGACACTAAGCAGATAAATATGTGTGACTCCACAACATAGTTTTCAGATGCCTTCATTTTGTAGATGACCTGGCTATCTTTGTTTTAAGGATTCTCTCTTTTTATAACTAGAATAACATTTTGAGCTATTTTGCAGGAACTCTATAGACTGTCAGGCATTAATTTGTTGAAAGTGTTAGTGTATTTATTTATGATAACATTCAATTATAATACCCATTCACTCTTCTCCGAAGGCTATTTTAGATCCTGGCAGATCTGTTTCTGAAGTTAAAAGAGAAAAGAACCAGCAGTCTCAACCGTACATAACAAAAAACAACATGTGGTATCCTTGATTCTTTTTATTGAAAAGGAATCATTTCTATTCTAGCGCAAACAATGTATATTTTACATCATAAAGCAAGATATAATTTACATATTACATTTCTTATGAGATCTTTATACCTAAAATGTCATTCCCTTTTTTATTCAGTCACCTCTTCTGGTTCCATTTCACCTGCCACATATCCCACAAATCAGGCATCTTGTTTTGGAAGGACTGGGGACACAGACAGATAGTTTGCATGTATTCATCTGTATCTGAGTTTAGTGACAGTGAGGAACTGGGGTATGCCTCTGAACTCTGTGGCCCTGAGGCCCTCTATTGACTAACACGTGGCTCAGGAGCCAGAAGGCTACTCCTCCAAATCACACATGAAACTCCTATTTATGTCAAGTCAGTAATAAATGAACAACACTGAGTGCTTATACCATGGGTATACTTCTCAATCAACTGCTTAGATAATAGATGCTTGTGGTATACATTCACCAACAATGCCAGTGCCCGTGGCTGACCAATCCTGGTTCCTCTGTGATATTCCCAGACATCACTTGCCCAGGCATTGCATAAAACTGCCCAGTTTCACCTAGCATTCGGGTTATGGGTTCAGACTTTTCTGTTCATCACTGAACATGGATGTGAAGATAGAAGCTGTAAATGACTTTCATATGACCCTCTATCTCTTGGCTGCCTCTTCTAAGATTCCGCCCCTTTTAGCAAATTTTTTCATGTATAATTTCTGTTCCCCGCACTGTAATCCAAATCCTCTTTTAGCCTTTCTCCCCAAACCCCAAACTCCAAAAGTTCACCGATTTCTTGGATTGCACTGACTTCACAAACAATGTTTTAATCTGTCTGGATGTACTGTTCCTTTGAAACTTGATAATCCACAGCAGCTAATGGGACAAAATAATTAGTCCAGGGACTCTTTGGGAAGCAAGTAATGTGTGTTGTTCAGCTAGCCTACGTGAACCATCTGGTAAGAAATGTTTGAATAGTAGGTGAAAAGAACAGGGAATCAGTTGATGAGAGCACAATGCATCAGATGGGCTTCCTTCTTGTTACAGAGAAAAGTAAAGAATCAACACTGGAAATACATTTTCAGATTGGTGGCTGTTTGACTGAAAAGATACCACCGTGAGTTCAACCTGGTATGCCAAGACAAATAACAAATCTGTGCTCAAGGTGCATCTTAAACTCCCAATCCCTTGCCTGTCACCGAAAGTTGACATATTTGGCCAAAATCAATCTAAAGCTTTTTAATCACTGATAACTAAAATTATTAGAACCAAGCTGGTCAGGATGAAAATGTAAGTTGAAAGTGTGCCTTAAATTATTCTTTAGTCAAATGATGTGAATTCTGAGGGGGTCTGTAAATATAAACCCATTTCTCATTTCCAAATGCAAAATTATAAGCATTAAAAGCAAGGTAGCATTTTCTTGCTAGAAAACAAGGCTCCCAGATACGTATCCTCCCATTAGCCTTGACTACTTTTATAGTCCCCTTCCTTTCATGGCTACAAAGTGCTGGAAATACAGAGAATACAGGAAAGAACAAAGGCGCAAATGAATAGGGCCTCACAACACCCCTGTGAGGTAGGTAACTATTGTTAAACCCATTTTACAAAAAGGTAAACTGAGGCACTGCATGGTAATGGGGTTTGGTCAAATCCACCTGGCAAGTTACAAAAGCACAGCTGGAAACAAAGAGAAACAAACAAAAAAAGGTCAGTCCTGGCTCCCAGCCCTAGTCACTAACCTTTATTTCAAAATATTAAAAAATAAAAAGAGCCCATAATTGCCTTTTTTGAAATTTAGACAAACCTTTAAGTATTCCAATAAGCATGTGTCTTTCAGATTCCTGTTGAGTAGAAAAAGGGCAGATGGCCAAGTGGCTTTTCCTCCCCTCTCTAAGTGTAATTCCCATGATAGATCAGGACGGATCAGCATTCCACCAGAGCTCAGGCTCCAAACTCAAGGACATTCTTACAGCCTCACATTGTTTCTCATTTATTTAAAGCCCTAATGTGAAAACGAGACCTGTTCTCCAATAGCTGCCCTATCAGTTGCTCTGTGGCCTTAATGAGAATTTTGTGGAGCGCAAGAAAGGAAACAAAATCCCCAATAAAAAGTCTCATCACTGCAGAGAGAAGGACAGTGGTGATGGTGTGAAATTTGCTTTTTGTTGTGTTTGAGAAACTGCAAACTCAAGCTTGCAAGGATATTTTATATATATATATATATAATATATAAATATATACAGTATATATATGTGTGCATCTGATGACCCTTCAGGCACCGACGAGACATAGACAATGCCTTTCATAACTTGGTCTTTGTTTTCTGAGAGAAATTTCTCTACCTCATTCAAATGAAGAAAATATATTTCTTCTACCAAATAGTCCATGATAGCAAATCTTTCAAGAACAACAAATATCTTTAAGTTAAGATGGCTGTTAGGATGGGGGTGATGGTGATGTCGTCTATAGCTTGGAGCTTAAATCTAGAGCTTAGGTCTAGAGCTTATTGCTTAGGACAAGCCAGACACAGCCAATCCCGCTGGATCAGACAGGCCAATGACCAGATGTTGCACATGATTGCCCCCCCCCCCAATAGCTGATGGAAAAACCTTCCCATGACCAACAGAGATGGAGACAGGGAGAAAGGAATTCATGTCTGGCACAGATTCTTTAGGAAGACTTTGGCTTTTCAGAAGTTCCTCAAGCTTCTACACAGAGAACTGGGAAGAAGGATGGGGCAAGGCACTGAGGTTTCAACACGTCAATGAGGAGACTATAGGCAATTATTTTGAGATATATATATATGGTTTCTTTGGCTGCCGTAGACTTTTTAAAAACCCATACAATCAGGGAGGGGGATGTGGGCTGAACCCAACTGAAGAAGCTTGGAGTATATGAAGCAAAGCATGGACAGAAGGAAAAACAAAATGAACACACCCAGAAACAAGTGGTGCTGGAGTCCCAGAGGGAGGAGGAGCGTTTGGTAACTAATTTTCATTTGGCTCCTCTCCTGCTCTTCTCTGCCATGGTCCCAATAGTTTAGTTCTGTTTTTATGGTTTGTTTGTTTTTATTATTATTTTTTTCCAGCAGATGAAGAAATGACAGAACAGGATAGGTGTCTTATGGTTTTTTTGATTTCTTCTTAGGCCTGTTTAATTATTTTTTTCCTCAGTTGACTGTTGGCACTTGGTTCCTCTGTAAACTATATTCCTTGGCCTTCAGTCTCAGGTTGGCAATGCTGTTGGCCATGTTGATGCCCTGTGCAGGGCTATTGTTGGCACATGTGGCAGAATAAGTAGCCATGGCACTGTAGGGACAAAGGAGAGAGCAGGGAGAATACAGGCATTAGTTTCATGAAGCTGCAAGTCTGTGCCCCAGGTGGGTGTGACTCTCAGGACGGGGGCTGGCAGGGGCAGCTGGGTTGGACTAGGTGACCTCTGAGGTCCCTTACAGCCCCAAATTTCCATTAGTCTAAGGCACTTGGAAAAGGGTGGCAGTGTTTGGAAGGGCAGGGGAGAGCAGTGGAGAGTGGACCAAGGGACGGGGGAGGGAGGCATTCGCTGTGTTGGACTCAGTGAGTCACGATTTATTTCTGGGGTGAGAGAGAGAGAGCTGCTTGTGCTGAATAGCAGGTGTGTGATCAGCTGACCAGCTGAAACTGTTTAAGCCCTCTTCCTGCCTACATCCCTGGCACGTGGGAGCAACGAGGAAGGAAAGGAGGCGTTTGAAAAGAAACAGTTTTGCCTTCCTCACTCTAGGAAGCTTTCATTCTAACACATTGTAGATGATCAATAAATAATACCATATTAAATACCATACTTGGAGAATCAGTTAAACAACCAAGATAACTTCTGTGCCGTTCTTCATACCCTAGTTGATAGTACCAAGCATTGCCCAATCAAGAGGGTCCCATCGCGTTTGGTCTTGATTTGGTAACTTCTCAAAAGGACGCCAGTAGCTCTGGACACTGCCTCTTTCTTGGGTCAATCATTTTGGACATGTTTAAATCCCCTAGATAAACTAGCAAAGACCTCAGTTGCAGGATTCCCAACCTGTTTCTCACTGTCCACATTGCTGAGAAAAACCTGAAGTTTTGTTTTTCATTGTCTGAGATTGTAATTAAGACCTAGGAATACCACTGGGAAGAAATTTGTAATTGGTGGTTTTTTGTTACTTGCACCCATGAATTTCTTTTAAAGGAAAAAGTAAGGGTTTCTTAGACTTGGATGCAAATTATCCATTACTTTATATAAACAGTTAAAAGGGAACTCGTTTTAATGAAATGAAACTGTTTCTAGTTGTTTCTAAGATTAGCAAAATCCCTCTCAACTGAGATAGACTTACAAATGGAATGACGTGTACTCTTCCACTGCCTACATTCCAATGCAATTTTGTCAGCCACACAGGAGTTTGTGGTTCTGGGGATCAAGTGACAGACCAGAAAGAGAGAAAACTAAAGCTATTGCACAAAAATAGAAAGGCTATATCATTAATACTTATTTGGAACACTGCATCGTCAAGACTTATAGTCAAGACCCACAATAGCCTATTTCAGCTCAGTTACTAGCAATTAACCCAGGACAACTAGGTTGAAGAAGTATAATTAGTCCCAGGTCACTAGGTCTTTCCAGAAATACACATCCTTAATGTAAAGCCTTTATAGCATTGCTGTGTGTGTGTGTGTGTGTGTGTCTTACAGCAGAAGGAAGACGATTCAGAGGGTTATAAAAGATTCTTATGTTCTTGTATTTCATTTTCACCTGCTTTGCTCTTACTCATTTCTGGATTGATGATTTTAACCATCTACACAAAATTAGGTTCTCCTGTAGCTCCCTGGATGTTCCCTCTTAGCACTTATTTTAATTCCTCAACTGTAAGTTCCACAGATGAGACACCACACCTGCCTTGTTCACCTCTGTCTCCCCAGGTAGAGTTAACATCCTATCTACCGCACATTTGGCATTTGAGAATGTATTTAATGAATAGACAAGTGACTGAGAAATATCTAGATACAGGATGATTAAACTGATTTCAGCTCAGTGTCACTTTGCTCTGCTGTCATCCTACCGTGAGTAATGATTTCTAAAAATATTTCACCAATATGCTTTTTTTCTTAGGAACTATTCCTCCCTGTTAATTTTGCTATCTTAATAGAATGTACAGAATCAGAAGGGACATGACAAAAGCAGGGGCTGGTGATTACATATCCTTAAATCCATCAAAAGTATCTTTTAACAGTAAAAACCTGGACAAATATGAATGCAGGTTAGACTAATAGAATAGACTATCACTTCTACCACTGTCTACCAAAGGCAGAGGCAGAAAAAGAGACCCCAGTTAAGGTAGGTTTCAACTAGGAGTGAGATAAGTGATCAGAACAACCCATTAAAATTGAATAGGTTTTTTTTTTCTTTCCAGTATACCAAGAAATTTCATTTTTCAAATCCATATGTGTATATCCATTTAGTTCCTATATGAATTGCGGGCTTCCATTCAAGAACCTGCCAGAAATATATGTGAATCCATAAATTCTCTATTCAAGGAAGTTCAAGGATACACTGAAATCTAGAATTTCAAAGAAATCAAAGATCTAAGTTGGTAAGAAAAGATGCTTGGATTGGGGAATTAATTGTACCTAAATCACAGATCACAAAATCAACCAAATCAGGCTTTATCCATCAGATTTCTGTGACAGAATGAAGCCCTGAAGATGGTACAAGGAACCATTTTAAATGCAGAGCAGAGAAGCTGGAATTAAGAGTTATGTGTATTATCTGTTAAGGACTGAGAATGAAGTTGGATGGTTTAAGACTAAAACTTCTTGAGAGAGCACTTATAAAACTGAAATCGCTATAGTTGTGATTTCAATTTTATCTGTTATAGAACCATTTTCACTATAGTTTCTGCATAGTTTACTAATATCATATGACGGTCTTCTCTGAAGACTGACTATGGTAACATGTCTTGGAAATACTGAGAGTCTCTCATGAATGCAGGCCAGGTATTCAAATCCCAAATAAGATGAATACTGATCCACTTTCCATCCCAAAACCAAGTTAGTGGCAATTAGGGTTCTGTCTTGCACAGGAGGGGGGATTTTCACTCAGATGGTTTCCCTTAAATGGCAGCCCTGCTGTCAGGGTTGAGAGCAGCATCTTGCGCGATTGTACTGCGGACTGTTATAAGGACATCGCTGTATCAATGAGGCCTCAAGCTAGTGGGGTCTGAGGATAAAAAAGCGGTTGATGTTCATGAGTGAGTTTTGCAGTTTCCTAGGAGCTTGGCAAATGATAACATTTGCACTTGATAAATATTCAGGAAAGTTAGAAACTTTCAAAAATTGATCTAAAATTATGCCAGCATTGTATAGCCATAAGAAGTAAACTAAGAGAGACAGTCTTAATTCAGAGACTCTTGACTCTTAACAAGTGTTTAGACTATCAAACTGTACAAGTAGAGACTACAGTGAGGCTTTGTGGACATATGAAAGGATTATGAGTTTGTTTTCCCTGAGTACTTGGACACAGGTTCAGTTTCTCAACTTGAACTAAAAGTGCCATGTAGGCAAGCAGGGAGCAGTCCTTTGACATGCCAGTCACAAACAGGACTTGTTACAAGCCAGAAAAGACAGAATTAGTGAGTGGGTGCTCCAAGAGCAGCTTAGTCATGCTTTAAAAATGTCATTAGAAGTAAGATGGAGAGGACCCGCTTGCAAAAATGACAACAGGTGCAAGAGAACCTTGAGTGGCTGCCAATCGGAGTGTTCACGACCACCTGTTTCCCATGCCATCAAAACTTCTAATGCTCTGTGTTAGGCAAAGAAAGAGAACCCTGAAATGTTTTCTCACAAGACAGGCACCAATGAGGGCAGCAAGCTGTTTTCAACTAAATTTATAGGACCACTTGAACTATGTAAAGTGCCCCATCCTTCCTATGCAGGATTAAGCTTCCTGGGACAAAAAGATGAGATGGAAATGAAATGATTTGCATAGATTAAGCACATGATCACACCAAGAGCCTACTGACCAACACCCAGAGATCCTGCCCCTTGGTCTTGCTTTATCAGTAAGAAGCACGTACTTCCTCTAACATGATATGCCCACATGACCCTGGGACTGGGGGTTCATAGAGTTTGGATCAAGCAACATTTCTATTTTGTTTTTAAGAATGTCAAGTTCCTTGTGTCCATGACTAAGACACTACATTGCCAAATAAAGTGCACTGAAGAATTAGAGATGAAAAGGAAATGCCCGTATCCCATCTGTTGACTCAGCAAGTGTACCCTGAGACTCTCAGAGTAGACACATGGGCGGGAGCCTGATCACTTTCCATCTCCTTATTCAGAGATGCCTGACGGGTGGCGCTCAGGCAGACACTGCGGCGTGCTAACCACCATCAGGGGCAGGGTTCCGTTTTCACTGGGGACAGATCATTTTTGATGACTTCAGCCTACCCTGAGAGGTTGTCATGAGGAAAAATGTGTTACAATGGCTGCCAAAAGCCAAGGAAGTCCGGGAGATTCTATACATGATATGATTTTAAAGCCGGGAAACTGGAGGGCATCTGCTTCCTGAGCACCCAGAGTGTAAGTCCCACAAGTCACAAAACAGTTGAGAACAGTGCAGGGAACAATAATAACTGACTCAGTTTTCAACTCTAGCTTTGTTTTTCTATTTGGCCCTTTTGGACAAACGATGACAAGTTGTTGAGAATTTCATTCCAAAGACAGATCGGTTAGCCCAAGACGTCCATGTGCTTTCTGAGATCCTAGGGTTTCCCAGCTCAGGAGTTTCCCAAAGGCAGTTTGCATGACTCTGTCTGTGACTTGTAGAGGTTGGAGACCATCTCTTAGGTTTGTTCATTTGTTAGTGAAAGAGCAACGGAGGTCTACATGCTTCAACTAAGAAAATTCAATATGAGTTTTCCTAGGGAAGTTTACTCTTAGAGAGAGACCCCATAAATCCTTTGGAAGTGATCTTTTGTGATTTAAATAATCATTTCTAATTTCTGTTTTTAAAATCCAGAAGTAGGTTTTTAAAATTCAGCTCTAAGTGGACACAGTTGGACCCTATTTCATTGGTAAGCCTTCAGTTTGCATTGCATGTTCAGGGATCCTTCTGCCATTTTAAACTTTCCTTTCTACAGACATGTTATGTCGGAACCTTGCATTCTTCCATTGTCTCAACAATTTTGGGACTTCCTTTTTGAAATGCACTTTGCTTACCTATGGGCTCCAAACGCCCTGGGGAGGCAGGTAATAGGAAAACTGTAACTAGCTCCATCTTAGATGCAAGGTTACATAAGAGATAGATGATCCAACTGAGGAGCAGCAAGCGCCAGGACAAGAACGTAGTTCTTCTGACCTCTGCCCCACACCCTTACGGTCACCTAAAGCCTCACTATTCCAATTATGTCCCAAGTGTCAACAGTGTGGCATCACATGAACGCCTATTAGCGCCACAGAATCCAAGTCAGCATTGTAACACAGTCCCTGGCAATCCATCTACACAGTAATTTTTGAGGAGCCCTGCTCTAGGCTCTCAGACTTCCCTTAACTTTACAGACCCATTTTCTTGCAGCTCCAGTTGGTTTCCAGCGGGATTCCCCACCTAAGGACCTCCCTGCTTTCCTTTCTAGGACTGTCAGCCCCGCTTTCTGAAACACTTCCCACTTAAACCCTACCCCCAGCAGCCCCCCTCTTCCCCCTCTGACAAGTTACCTTTTCAGTGTCTTCCGTTAGAATCCGTTATGAAGTCCCTCGTGTAAACAACATCTTGGGAGGGACGAGGCTCTATTTTTGAAAGTGTGAAAGGGAGACATGAGCCAAATGCGTTCAGCAGATGTCAGGCAGCACGGTGACCACGACCAAATGAGGGGGGGAGGAGGAGGAGAAGGTTAGAGGAGGGAAACTGTGGACAAGGGTAGCTGGTCTCCCTTTTACTTGTCATCAGTTCTCTTTGAGGCCCAGCCCTCCCTCTGGAAACGGCCCTCCACACCGATGCTGCAGAGCCAGGCCATTCTCTAGCTCTTGTAGGAAAGGGCATCTCTGGGGAAAGGCTTCTAGACTATTCTATCTAAAACAGCAGCCCAAAGTCCAGGACGTGGTTAATTAGTGCTACCTGAGGCAAAGCACTACAAGATAGCGATACTTAATAGCTCTCGTCCTGGTGCGATTTTCGCCTAAGGAAAACAGTTCTAAGCTAAAGAGTAGGCGGACGTGTGTGCCAAAAACAAGCTCTCTTCCGCTGGCTGCCACTCGGTGAGGAAGACACCTGCCAGGACAGCGGTGTCCATGTGAGGGAGTAACCTGGTTGCCTCCCTGACATCACCACCTCTAACATGCTCCAGGGAATGAATGAGGTCACGACATGCTAAAAATAGCTTGAACCATATGTCCCAGTTTGCCAGGGACAATCCCAGTTTAATGCCTGTTATTCTAGCGCTCTTATTAATGGCACTCCCCTTCCACTCTCAGAAGTGTCCCAGTTTGGACAATAAATTATACAGCCACCACTCTAGATATGGAAGACACCCAGAAAGAAATGTGTTGGCTATTTCCCGTCCCATAATCCTGACTATACACACACAGTTGCTTTGATTCTTGGTTTCTCCTCTTTTCTCCAGGGGAGAGCTGTGGAAGTCAGCAAACTGCCCTGTCTGACAAAGCTGTCTGCTCACCACCCCTGGGTTGCATGGCCAGACCCCATCAGTCATCCCGAGGGGATGTCCACACGCCTCAGAAGGCGGCCTCTGCAGGCGTGCTTCACTGATCTGAGACAGACCCTGAATCAAAGGGCGTGTTTGCAGTTTCCCAGTCTTATACTGTTACTATTCTCAATATAATGTTGGGCTTAATTTAAACGAAAATATGGCCATGTGTCCTAATATGTTGGACGGAAACAGGGATCATGTGCACTGGGTCTAATTCTGCTTGCTGAGGCTTAAACTTGGGTGAGTGTTCAGTCTCTTCTTTGGAACCAGAGCAAGGACAGAGCTACCACACCGGAGCGCTCCAAGGATTAACCAAGAGAAATGCCTTTTAATGAAAGTCACATGGGAGATAACTAAAGATATAATAGTACCAACAGATATAGCGAGTTAATTTTCTGTACACAAAAGGTCTATAATTTCCTTTGCTTTTCATCACTTGCTTTTCTTGTATCATTCCTTAACAAGACTTATATTTCCTACCAAGCTTCAAAATGTGAAATTATAAAGTATTTTGGGTCTAAACATAGCAGAAAAATCTCCAAGGAGCAGAATAGCTTTTGCCACTTCTAGAGATTATTCAAAACAGAAACACTTCAGTCAACATTGGGTCAAAAAACATTATTATTGATTAAATTACTGCTTTAAACCATCATTTTTCTACTTCTATCTGGAGAGTAGCTTATTCTTCATACAGAACATGAACAATCAGAGTCTATGAATTTTTTAATGAATTAGTTTTTACAAACTCTGTAGCTAAGAGAGAAATGATATAAAAGTATACTGTGAAATGAGTAAAAAGTAGTAGGTTATATAATTTTAAGTGAAAAGAGCAGAATACAAAATAATATGTACACTAAGTCTACACTATATAAAATACTGAACTCTAATTGCAAAAGTAAACAAAACTAGTTATGTCAAGATGGTGGAATTATGAGTACTTTTTTTAAATGTATCTAATATTTCTACATAATCTTTCAAGTTAAAGTAGAACATTTTCCAAAAAGGCACACATAAATTGCTTGTTAATGATTTCAGTTAGATGCCCATATACATAATATATTTGATGCTGGCCCTGGGGTTTGAACTTCTGCTTAGGTCCAGGTAATCTAACCCAATATAAATTCAGGAAGGATTTCATCCCCACTCCTGCAGGGGTCTGCCCTCAGCCTCTCACTGGTAAGGACCACTGACAGCCATCTGGATTGTTTAGAGCTGGTGTGAAAAGTTCCTACGTAGGACCCAGGCAGAAAAGGGAGCAGGACTCCCTGGTTGTGACCAAATTCAAACCAGAGACCTTGAAACATCAAGCTTGGAACCACATCCATTTCCTAAGACATTTAGCAAGTCTATGAGCTATCAATATTTATCAGAGAGACAAAGCCGTCTTCTACATATTTAAAAATATTAAAGACCAGGTGATTTCACAGTGGTCTTCAAAATGTGTCTTTAGTAAATTCTATGGGAGAGGAGTCTGAATTTTAAATGGTACACCGCGATATGACTAATCTTTTGAAATCAGCAAGGCATACCATGTCGGAGAGCAAGAAGAATTTCCAGTTTCCTATGCAGGGGTTCTCTATGGACTAAGAGCAAAGTAATTCAGGCTAATTTCACAATGGGGGATTCAAAAGAGATTTCCAAATGCATTTCTGGTGTTTCTTTCAAGGAACTGATTTGGAAGAAGAACATTTAGGTGAGGTCTTTCCCTTTGATTAGAGTGGTCAACTTTTGAAACATTTGCACTTCACAAATGTGGCATTTTACATCTGGAGTTCAGCTTCCACTGGGGAATAATCTTCTATAATTAATTTAAAACATCTCCTTTACCCATTAGTTAACTTTAACAATAAAAAGGTAACCAAAGCACAATTAATGAATTTGTAAATAGTTTTTTCTCCACTGCAATCAGCCAGAGATAACCTTGATCTGGTTTCTAAAAGTACCCAGGTTTAGGTCCAAAGAAAGGCACTTATACCGATGACAATGCATTAGGCACTTGCGTCTTAGCTTCCCTCAGGCATTGGCCTGTAGTTCTGAACAGCATAAGAAATGAAGGTTCAAGGCCTCTCCAAGACATTGAAATAGTACTCTGTTATTTACTTCTTTAAAAATATTCGCCTTTTTAATATAAAAGTTTAGGGTAAATTATACATTGCTTTTATACTTCAAAAAACCTACACAAACTGACTTCCGAAGAACTTCAGATAAGTAGATAAGAATTAGCAATAGAATAGGAAGGCATTTGGGATCCTAAGACATCTCCACCTACTTACAAAGAACTGTGGCCCTGAAACTGATCAAAATGATTTTGGATTTTCTTTCTTTCTCACTCTGTGCCTCTCTCCCTTCCTCCCTCTCCTCCTTCCCCTCCTTTCCCTTCCCTTCCCTTCCCTTCCCTTCCCTTCCCTTCCCTTCCCTTCCCT